GGGCATATCTCTAACTTATTGAAACAAACAGTAGTTCATTGCATCGTTACTTAGTCGTTTCCCCTACATTCCTACCTATGGTGTCTGAAAGATGAAGTCACACACATCTAAGGGTTAAAATTTTTGTTACAAAATTTAGTGAGCACTAGGGATTGAATAATTGGCGGCAATTTTTAAAATAGAAAAAATAAAATATTAAATCAATTTCTTTAACAATACTTAATACTACACTATATATCTAATTTGATATTTTATTATCAACTTCCACATGAACAATATCCAATCATTGTTTCTTTATCAGTTTATAATTTTTTAAGTATCTATAGAAAATTCAGTTTTCAATAATTTATCGTTTAATATTTTAATAAGTCGAAATGATTTCGGCATTGAATACTTTAATAAAAAGTAATAATAACATAAAATAAATAAATAGAGCGAAATAAAAAAAAATCAATAAAATTTAAGTTAGAGTAGGTATATCTTTATTTAACGTGCAAATAAATGAAATTATAATAATAATTCGATAAAAGCGGTCATTTTAGCTCTTTGACTACTAGCTGCGGAAAGATGTACTTTTATTAACGTTATATAATATAAATAATATTTCGCCTTTGAAATTGTATAGAGATGCGACCCCTTCTTACAGATTCCATCGATTTTCCTATTCCTCTTCACTTTTCTACCTGCCTTTGCTCCACTACTAATTCTCATCTTTTTTAATTTTCTATTTTTTTCTTCCTCATATTTATTTTTATTATCTATATTTAGCACCCTTTTCTTTTATATTTCCTTCTTAAAATACCCTTGTTCTAAATTTTCCAGTTTTTTTTAATAACACTGCCACACAAAAATCAACTTTTTAACGGCCTGAGGGTCTGACTATGTATACCGTATGCTTTTAGGGTTGCTGAATCCAAATCCGCGGCCAATTTAAGTTCAGTACTTCAAGGTTTGGACATAACCTCAAAAAGCCATTTAAACCGTTAAACATGATAATCCCAAACGCTTTTAAACCTAAAAACCGCAACCTAGCACTTCTGCTAAATGTATAATCCTTCTAAAACCATCTGAGCTTGTGACATTTTATTCCCGTTATCAAAATACAGATACTGTATCGCCCAATCTCTCATCATGAAACTATTTGTGACATAAATTTCACACAATTAAAGTTACCCCCTCGTTTAACATCTTGGGAATCATAAGGCTATTTTGTTTTAAATTGATTACAGGGATATAGGTTATGGGATCATAAGGTTTTAGGGTTAGTGATTTAAAGGTTTATGAAGTCATAAATGTTGTGGAAGAGTTTATGAGTTGCGGGTTTTAAGTTTAAAATTGCCTGGAATTATCATGATTAATGACTTTTGGTGAGTTCTTTGGGATTATGTCCAAACCCTGACGTACTGGGGTTAAATTGATCGCGGATTTAAATTCAGCGACACTAAAATCATACAGTACCTATATAGTCAGACCCCCAAACTGATTCTTTTTGTGTGATTAGGTAATGAATAAATATAAGATTTTAATTCAATTCGTATTACTAGTTGATATTCGAGGCAAACGTATGCATCTTGCATGCTCAGAAAAGATTTTAATTTGTGGTACTTTTGTTAGTTTCTACAACTTCTTTTCTATACTTCTATAAAGTGTAATAGATGATTCATTTTATTTTAATGCACTGTTGGACAACTTCAATATTTTGCTGTCATTAAACATTATTTTCAGTTGAATCTCTTTGGAAAAGGTATAATATAAACAATGGAGTAAATGCTCTTTACATGGTAACATCGATTACTTTTATTGTCAATGATTTCTAGGAATTGTTTCGCGCTGAGAGATTGAGCGATATTGTTTCAGAATTTCAATAACGGGGATATAGCATTATGGGACCATAAGGTTTTGAGGTTAGGGGTTTAAAGGATCATAAAGTTATATATTCAGGGAAAGAGTTGATTGGTTACCGGTTTTATTCAGCGACCCCAAAAACGTACAGTATACATAGTGATACCCCCACGCCGAAATTTCCTTTTTATGTTTCTGTGTAATTTATCACTATTTTTTAAGTCTCGTCCATCATTTTCCCACATTTCGTTTTCTTATTCTTCTTACGATATAGTCTGTGGTATACTTAACCACATTTAACACCTACCTAAATGTTTTCTATACTTATGTATTTTATAGTTGTTTTTTTTGCCAAACCCCATACCATAAAATATTATAATTTTTATTACTACATTAAACAACATATACGTTTAAGGGATTTTTATAAGAAAAAAAATCTACAATAAAAAATTTATTCTTTGATCATCAAATGAACAACTTGACACCTTAATTAGGCCTTGTCTAACGCATGAAATATTTCATTAGCAGCAAATAATCATGAAGGTCTAGTCAGAAACATATTAGAGGCAGAAACAGGAGTTAGGAGGGGTAGAGGTAGACCTAGATCAGATTACTTTTCGCAAATAGTTAAGGACATGGATTGCTCTAGCTTTAGGGAAAGGCGAAGATTAGCTCAGGATAGGAAAGAGTGGAGGTACGTGTCCAACCAATCTCAGGACTGACGACGAGCAAATCATCATTAGATGGCGATATACTGCCTATACGTAGAGAACAATTATAATAAGAATTCGTTTTGATTTCATTTCTCTGCTTTTAAAAAAGTAATTAACTTTTAATAATGTTTATTACTTATAATAGTAGTAGCTTTGTTTAAATTTCTAGGTTATATACCTAGATATATAATATCCCAAATCTGCATATCTTGGGGATTCACTTCAATCTACAGTCTATTTCAATTTGTTAGAATTGTGACCTTGAAGAAATCTGCGCGAAGATAGAAAGAATACACACTAGGCGTGAGCAAGACAGAAATAGTTGGAACAAGCTTGAACGAGCAGAGCTCTCGATGGGCGGTCTTAGGAGATCGGCTAGAACTGTACAGTACTAGACGAAAATGTTTAGCAATTTCTTAAAACAAAAATGTATATAAATTAAC